GAATGAAAACCCAAAATCTCTGTAAATGTTCATTAAAACTAATAAAATTTAATTAAAAAAAAGCTTTTAGTGCTTTGCATCAAATCATTCTTATACATCATGTTTCACACATGAACTTTGTGATTTATACAATCATTTCTGCATGTTGTATTTCATTCTTATACACTGTGTTTTATACACTCACCCTTGTATATTTTCTATAATTACCATTGATCTGTTGTGCCTATGAAGAGAGTATTATGTTTAGTATTTAAAATAAGGAACTCAGCATAGTCTGTAGGGAGTTGGTTTGCTAACCCAAAGGCCCTGCCTCTTTGGTGGTTCAAATCCACCAGCAGCTCCAGGGCAGAAAGGTGGGCATTCTACTCTCACCTGATTTACAGCTTCAGAAACCTAATAGAAGGGCAGCTGTGAGTAGGTTCTGACTCTACAGCAGTAAGTTTTTTGAGTTGAGTATTGAAAAATTCTTTCCATTTGTATGAAGCACCAATACCCTGCTGAAAAACTGAAAAAAAAAAAGATCCCCCAAACGACGCTTAGGGCAATTAACAAAATCAGGATGAAAAATCACCAAGAAGGACATAGAAATGTACTTAGCTTTACTAATAGACAATTTTGACTTACTATTCTATTTCTCAAATTAGAAAATTTAACACATGATATTATTACGTTTTTGTGAGAATTGATAGACATTTTCGTACATTAGTGGAGGAATTTATGAGTAAATGCAACTTTTATGGGGGAAAATACCATCATTTTCAAATCAGAATTCTCAAAAGCAGCCATACAGTTAATGCAACAGAATCCACTTAAGAGAAAGCAGAAGAAATATAAGGCATGATTTTTGTATCAGGAAATCAGCACATTTCTACTTTGTAGTATTTAAATATTAATTTAAATATAGAAAAGAAACTAAATATTTAGTAGTAGGGAAACGGTCCAGTAAGTTTGTTTGTACCTCTATAATTCAGTCATCTTTGTTGTTGTGTGCCGTTGAGTCAGAACAGGCCCTCCAGTGGGTTTTCAGGGACAATAAATCACATGGGAAGGTATTGCCCATTCTTTCCCATGGAGCAGCTGGTGGATTCAAACCATGTGCCTTTGGAATTGCAGCACAGCTTCTTACCAGGAGGCCACCAGAACACCCTAATACTTATTCAATCTTTAGACAATATGGGATTCAGGGAAAAGCTGTTTCCACGACTTTTATGCTCAATTTTGTCCATTACAATTTGTAAGTATGATAAGGGATGGCCCAGGATCAGGCCAGTATTCTTCCTGTTTACGTGGGATCACTGGAGGTCAGAGCCACTCCACAGCACCTACCAACAGCAAGGGTGCTGATGATTTTGTAAGTATCTGTGTGTCACTTTTTTTATTTATATTTATCTTAATAGATAAAACTACAAATGCTAATACAGTTTTCCCTGAATTGTGGTTGTACTGGAATATAGGCTTTGTTTCAAGTCCTTTTCCATATTATCTGTGAAGATGTGTGTGATTTTGATCAGGAAAAGAAATACTCTTTTAAGATTAAAGTACATGTCACTTGTGGTTTTGCTGCTAGTCATCACTCCATGGTATAATCTACAAACTTGAAACACTTTCAATCCAATCAGTTTTACTCTCAATATAAGGAGCACAAATGCATAGAGTAAATCTTCGGTGGAGAATGGCCATATTTACTTTTCTTACAGAGTTTTCATGGCAGATATGACTGGGAGTCTTTTATGAGGGTGAGAGGGGTGCGAAGGAGTGTTTAAGAAGGTGAAGGGTAAAGTTACATTCTTTCAATGAAAAAAATCTTCCTGATACATGTGTCTGAATGCATGAAAAGTATGCATCACTTGTAAGTAACAATTTATTCAGTACTAATTTGTTTTCCTCTCTAGAATATGGACTTCACTAACAAGGAACATTCAAGGAGCACAGCTATTAACAACCTGGAATATGAAAACGAAAGACTCCGAAATGATCTTGCGAAGCTTCATGGCAGTGGAAAGTCAGCTTGGAATAATCAAAGTGTGTTTGCAGAAGCAGCAAGGCACGTGTCCCAAAGCCAAGTGAAAATGAAAGGCAATGAAGAAAGGTATGCCAGCTCCACTACAGAAAGGATAGGAGTTGATGAACGTTTAGTTTAAATTGTGTTTGAATTATATTTTAATTCTCTTCAGCTCTTTGAAAATTCATTTGTGGTGATAACGCAGTAGTCTAGGTACTTAGTTTTAAGAAATTCTGTGTTGTTAGTAGCTACCAAGATGAAAATTTAAACATGGAAAGTGGAAGACATTTTGACAACTTAAAAGATGACATTTTGCCTTTACAATTAAAAATGTTGGCTTCCAATTTATATGAAAAACACAAATATGTAGCAGTAACATAGTTTGGAGACTAAAATGTATTTTGTTACTTCAGATCCTTTGTGAAAGTGAGTGTATAATGTATTGGGCTGCAAATCTTAAGGTCAGCTTTTTTAATCCACTAGTAGCCCCATATGAGGAATATGAGCAGCTTTAATGATTTACTGATTTGGAGGGATGCTATGAGTCAGAATCGACTCCATGACATTGGGTTTTGGGGTATACAAAATATGCAAATAGATATTGTGGGGTTTGAGGGCTTTTATGTTCTGGGAACAAAGAAAACCAGATTTTCCTATGTTAAATATATTGTTCAAATTAAATAGAAAATGCAGAGAAATGTCACTTCTGATTTACCCTCAACCATATGATCTTTAAATCAACATCCAGGGGTGACAGCAAATTAGTGGTCATTTCATATTCCAGCCCTTCAGTGTCTGAGAAAGAGTCTCGCGGTGTGAAATAAAGGTTCACTCTTGAGTGAAGAAAAGTGAAAAATCATTGGCTACTGTTCACATCTTCTTTTTTTTTTCTTCTGACATCCATTTTGGTCTTTTCTTCCTCTTCTGTCTTTGCAATGACCGTTTGCACTCTTCCTGGATGATACATTTAACATCCTCCCACAACTCATCTGGCCTTCG